AAAAAGGGCCATTCAGGCTCCTTCAAAACCTGACAGGTCAAGAAAGAAGTTTGAAACAAAAGCACCTTATAACCATCATCTCTCCTCTTTACTTGTCAGATCAACTTTGCTAGTGTCTCCGCTGAAATGGCATCACCATGCCAGCTGCCACAAGGTGATTTTTCATGTCTTGTCAAAGAAATCTTTTATTCTATTTGCTCTGCATTAACATGTTACATTTATTGATCAAGCCCTTTCTGCAGCCACAGCAGGGCACTGTGCTCTTATGCCTAAGGGGGCTTTGATGTCCTGGTGACATTCTAGACCGAATAATGCACATACTAAATGGATTTAATGCAGAAATGTGTTTGTGCATGACAGCTACATTAATAACAGGCCCTCATACTGATAAATATGCAATTGCTACGATTAAGAGTTACCCAATTATGGTGAAAATATTTTTCTACCTTATAAATAAAACCATCAAAAAGTTTTAACAATAGTGCATTTCCTTCAACATTTTAAAGTGCTATAAAGATGAGTCTAAAGACTTGAAAAATATGTCATGCTTTGTTTTGAATTCTGGCTTTTATTTCCATCTCTCTTTTGTTGTTCATCCTCCTGTTCTGCATGTCTTATTGCTGCATAGACTGGGAAGGTGGTTAGGGGGGGAAAAAAAAAGCCTTTCTTTCACATACTCAACTTACAAAGAGGAACATGCCCTGTAAAAACTGAAGCCCATTTTCAGGCTGCCACTTGAATATTCCCCCAGGCAAAAAAACAGGAGGCAGAGGAGAGAAAGAACAATACCTAGTCCACAGAGAAGATATTACAAAGCCTCAGCCTCACAAAAGTCTTGGAGGAACATTCCAGACTAGGATTGAAGTTCAAGGGCAAGTTTTCATACATGCACCCTCTTCATCAGACAGTGGAAATTATGCACAATCACATACTGTGCAAATTATTCAGGCTCCTAGCAGAAATAATCTGCACCCTAGAGAGAGGGAAGAGATATTTGTATCTCCATGAGCACAATTATTGGATTAATCCTTCCTCATTGGCCAAGATTAAAGATTCACTCTCCCTTTCACCTCATAGCTTAGACCGAGAAGTAATCTCTGCAAGAAAAAGGAAAAGAACTCACATGTTTAAAACTACTGAGGACAAAACCAAAAGATGGACTTCTCAGTGAACTGAACTGTAGATGTTATTTACAAAAGCATGGCACCTGTTTGTACAAAACCACTGACATCTGTTATTCAAGCACTGGAGTGCATTTAGCCTTGAATGTGAAAGGAAAAAATTTGAACAAAGTCATCCAGGACAAGTAAAAAAAAGCTTTGAACAAGTTGTGGGTTGTTAGAGGTTTTTTTTTCTTCCCACAAGATAGCAAGATGCATCTAAACTAAAATCTTTGTATTTCATCCAAATCTCTACTCCCTACCTCTATTACATCCTTCCTACTCACTTACTTGCTTTCCTTCACCAGTGATTACTACTTACCTTGTTCTTTTTTTAGTGAAATCTTTAACTTTCCATGATCAACAATAGTTTTTCATTCCACCTTGAAATCCTTTACAAAGTCTCCAGGTAACTCACACATCACGTCTCTTCTTCCCATACTCTACACCTTCACAAAATGAGAATTGGGAAATCTTTTCCACATATTATGAAAGGGCTCTGTTACTAGGGAAGGCTATCAAATACAGTTGCCATGAGAGGTTCAGGAGCAGATTTCCAAAGCAAAACATCTCTGCTCCTGAAACATGCCTTATTGAAAATACACAGCATAAAGAGTTCATTTCTAAGATAGCTGAAAATCACTATGAAATCAAAAGAGCTGCTACAACTCAAGCCATATCACACCATTAAAGCTGCAGAATCACAGCATAATTTAGGCTGGAAGGAGCGTCTAGAGATCATCTAGTCTGATTCCCTGCTCAGAAAAGGGGGATTTAAAAATTTAGATCAGGTTGCTTGGAGTTTTGTCCAGTCGCATTTTAAATACCACCCAAGGTGGAGATTCCACAGCCTCTCTAGGCACCTCTTCCACTCAACCTTCCCTGAGGTGGCTGGAAATTCCCTTGCTGCAGCTGTGACAACTGCCTCTTGTTCTTTTGCTGTGCATTTGACAAGAGTTTGGCTCCATCTTCTTCACAACACCCCCTTGGCCCCAAAATGAAACAAAAGATATTAGAAAGTATTCAAACAAAATCAATGTAATGAAAACAGCATGAGAAGAAATAAGTCACAAGTGGACTACAGTTGGCTGGGACTGAAGGATTTCCAACAGCCAGAGACACAAGTAGGAGGCAATCCAGTGGCACCACATCCTGCCAGTTACAGCAGCATCTTTTAAGCACACACACATTTTTCCCTTTGCCTCACACACAACAAATTGCTGTTACTCATCCTCTTTCCCAAAATTCCCATTTAAGTTCCCTTGTACCTTTCACCTCTTTCTTTCCTTTCCCTCCCAGGGAAAAGGGGAGATGTGTCACCACTGCAACTGGTAACAGTCACTTTGACTGCCAGAAGAAAGAGCTGGATCCATGTACTGCTCAGGGGAACCCAGGAGAGACACCAGCTCTTGGAAAAAGGCAAAGAAAGACACAAAAGCAACTGTTTGTGATTATGTATCAAGTGCTGATATTAGACATACCACATCTGATGCAAAGATAATTAAGCATATGCACAGCCCCTAAATTTTATTTAAAAAAGAGGAAGGCGTTCTAGCCTGGGAAGAATTCTGAAGTCAGAAAAAAAAATGGTGAAAAACGTACACTTCCCTCTGTATTAAACTGCCAGTTCAAAGGAAGTAATGGCAACCGTCCCCTCCTCTGTTATATGGACACATCCCAAGCAAAAAGAAAATAACTAGGGAAATATGAGTAACAAAACCACCAGATGTAAGAACATTTGTTTTTCTTTTTTCCTTTCAAAAACCCACACAAACAAGCTCTCATCCAATAATAAATCAAGTTATAATGAAAGCTAACATCTTTACTGCAAATAACTACATTGCCAGCAAAACACAGTATTCTCTTCGTCCTTTCCTATATTTTGATCACCTTTGGTCTTCTTCATTCAACTCACACCTTTACCAAGAGACATCAAGTTATACTAAAAAATCAAACTCCTTTCTAAATCAACATTAATTGCAGGCATCGTTTCCCCACTGAAAACAACAAACTAAACTTTTCAAATTAAGCATTAACTGACAAAAATCTTAAAACTCATCACTATACTACAACATTGCTAGATTTTTAAGCAATAACACCTGTTTAAAGAAGATGTCACTGCTTATACTTGCTTCAACAGCTGCCCAAGACATTATTCTATATTCACATTCATTTAAGGTTATGACATTTATTCTGCATCTTTTCTGACTTTCTCAATAATTTGCAGGTACAGGACTTATATATGAGCACAGACCAGTGTGAAGAGCTACTGTATCATAAATACTTCACTCTTAGTTTCTATATGCTTAATAAATCTAAGCACTACTCAAATGAGAAATCCTTACTGCTCTCATCCCATTTAGTATTAGCTTCCCAAAGGGAAAAAAAAAAAAAATAACCCACTACTTCTCCCCTTTCCCAAATCTGATTTCTGGTCTTAAAATACTTCTACAGATTTACAACTACAACTTCTCCTACACTACAAGCTGATTGTTCTTCCCCAAACCTCAATAAAACCAAATTATATCCCTTCTGAAAAACAAGCTAAGCATTTTGGGTAGAGAAGAAATGAAGGAAAGAAAACACAGATTTCAGAAATACAATTTGTGCTCTCCATGAAAATATTATCAGAGTTTTAAAGTGGTACCTTACATCCAAATCTAATGTTATTATTTTACTTTATGAAATGCAACGAATTCAGATAACTGTTCTTCAAATCATGCATTAACTGAGACAAACACTTTTTTCCCAGAAATGTAAAGAAGGAGCAGTCTTGTCAGCATATTAAATCTTAATGTACATACAGACCTTGAATTACCTTTATGACAAAAATAAAAAAATTACTATTTGATCCCCTCCCCCAGCAAAATTCTCTTTTCTGATTACAATATCCAGTGGTACCGAGTCATGGTATAAGACAACAACAATCCACACATTTACTGTCTCCTTTGCTCGGCTACCTCTTACATGTGTCATTCGGTCTTTCGGAGTTGACAGAGGCTCAGAAGAACATTTATGAGTGTTAAGTAAGTTAAAATCAATGGTTGTTTCTTCTAGGAAAACAAGGCACCAGCATGCTACTTTTTGTATTAGTCTTCACAAGCTACCCCCTAATAGTGAGCTTACCCCCAGTAAAATAAAAGGAAAAAACCTGATTTTTATTAAACAGACAATTGCACTCAAATTCTTTCTCCATACTTACCCACATTTTTCAACCTGAAATATACTCTGCTGAACCTCAGCAGGCTCTCTTATAAGGATTAAATGAAATGGGATGCCGTAGTAGCCCACAGCAATACTACAGAATCCTAAACCAATCCATATATTAAAATACTTAGAAGGAATTACAAATTCTAACTGAACTTAGCTTTACCACTTAACTACACAGATGCACAAAAATAAAATCATAGAACAAAACACATCATCTGGGAAAAGAGCATTATACAGCATTTATAGTGATAACCAGAAATCCATAAATAAAATTTTTAGAAAGAGAAACACATACTTACTTCTGTTGTGGTTAAGGAAAATTCACTTTTGATCCCATTCTTCACTTCTTCAGGTAACAACGTTTATTTTCCAATTTAAGTAGAGAACAAAGCATAAGCTTCTCAATGGACATCATTTATGTTAACACATATTAGTTTTCCAGACTCACCTGGTTATTTGTGCTCCAAGTGTGGGAGAAAAGGAGAGAAACATTACCTATGAAACAGTGTCATCTACTTGATAACAATTAAATGTACCCAACATACATTTTTCTACTTTGAAAAAAACCCCAGTCTATTTTAGGAGTTGGAATTCCACACTGCACTTGAAAAACTATATACTGCCACATACCTTAGCAAGTTGAAGCTAAGGTCTAGCCTTTTTGCCATGCGTCCATATTTTCTTCCTAGGAATTCTGGAATTTCTTCACAGTCCTGACTAATGTAGGACACCTGAGAAACAGAAGCAACAAGGAAACATTTCACCAGTAGATTTAGTTCCCTGTCCAGATTGTGTCTCATTGATCAAATGATAGCGTGCAATACAGTGAACTGGCATTAGAGCTTTAAACTACATAAGTTTTACAGCTATAAAATCTATCACACAAACTCATTTTCCTATTGATACCATCAACTTAATATTTATTACATCTATAGTCTTTATGTACATTTTGTCTCCTTCCAGGTAAAAGCACTTCAATTAAATTTATCACATTTCTTCTATTTCACTGTTAATACTTTGATCTAATGTTACTTCACATTACCATTCTGACATGCTCCAGAAGAAATTTGTTTGAAGGATCAGAAGCCATCTGAAAGATCTTCCAGTTTGGCTCTTCATATACAATAAACACAGGCTGTTTTCTAAATTTAGGTGCAGAGATACCTCAACAGTGCACAGTCAATCCATTCTAACCATTCCTTGAGAAAATTATTAGTCCCAGTAACACACTAGGGATAGTGCAAAAGGGCTGCCCACGACCATGAAAATGAGGCATGCAGCTTCTTTTCAGACAGTCATGGAAGTCTTAAAGATTTATGGCTTCTCGTTACCCTCATGTATGAGTAATCTTTTTCACACCAGCCCATCTAACCCATCTTGAGCAAACACAGGAAGAATTAGTGGTAGCACAAAAAACAGTCTACTCAGATTCTGTTTGTTTTTATTTGCTCTTAGTTGGGACGAAGTGAGTGATAATATTTCCAGAAGAACAAAAAAAGTAAAGCAGCTAAACTTTTTCTATTATTTCTGCTCTACTGTTTTAGAAGTCATTGGTTTGATGTCTTCAAAGAAATCCCACAAACCTTTTCAAAACTATTGTCAAGAATTCTATACATCTATATATGGCTCATCCTTTCTGTGTTCAAAATACTGACATTTCAGATTTTGTGCTGCAGAAATCTTAGTTTCCCTTAATGACCAACTAGCAAGTTAAGTACCATGTTAGACCACTATCTATACAACACTGTTATTATCCATTTGTTTAATTATAAAGTCAATTTCAACACCATATTCCACAAGTCTAAAATATGCTGGATGAAAAATATGCAAAAAAAATCCATCAAAATTGTTTTGATAGTATTCCACCTTCTGTTAAAACAGAGACTCCTCTGCAGAGCAGACTGACAGTATGTACTTCTGCAAGTCATCCTGATCTCCTACGCTCTAAAAATGATTGCATCTGATAATACTATATGGCATTCCATTTAATTCATTTTGTTCAATAACTTCAACAGATAAAGCTGACAACAGTGAAATAATTTTTATGAGCAGAAAACAGGTAGCTTGAAGCTCAGTTTAACAACTTCTTCCCCTTGCTAAATCAGACCTGATTTAATTGTTCTGTTACCAGACATACACACAACTTGAGCAAATATAAGAACAAAAGGGAAAGGAACTGTTTTGGGCAGTTGGCATCCTAATGGTTTGGATAGAACAGAAAATGTTTTGCAGAATTTATTGAATTAAATATGTCAAGGTTTTCCTCCAGTTTACGTCTAAGATAATCACAATGCATTTTACAACATACACAAAGGTATGCATAAAAGAACTGCATCATTCTTCACTGAATTTTAGATTTCTTTAAATTAATGCTTGCAAACCCTTTGAAAGACATCACATTAACAGCTTAATACTTGGGATTAAGCATTTGGTTCAATATAACATGTTGAAACAGAAATTACTAAAACATGATGCCCACTAACACTGGGAGGACAAAACTGTCTTGAGGAGCTACAAACACAGCAAGAGCACATACCCTCACTTGGCCTTTCACCCAGGGAGCAGCGGCTGAGAAAGAGCAGGGGACTCTGGCCTGCTACACACTGCTTCAGAAACTTACCTGGACATCAAATCCCTATCCACAAGAATAGAAATTGAAGAATAAGATTCATACAAACATGAATCTTTAGAGCACACATGAAACAAAATACATAAAATGTTTCAAAGGTTCAGCCTTTGAACAGTTATAATATGCAAATATTTTACACAACTGGTGCAAACAGATTATTCACAGGCGTATTTGCAGATGATGTATTGTTATCATGGCCTTTCAATGCTGAGGACTTGTAAAGGCATTTTACTTCCACAGAGTCCACTTCAGCACACTCATAGTACAATGCTAATACAAAATGAGATGTCAGTAGATAGAAGAAAGAATATTTCTTCATTTTCATTGTTTCAGTTCAAAATCATTTATTCAGAAAACAATAAAATGTACATAATTCAGTTTTCTTCCTTTTGCTTCCATTTCAAATACCCTCAAAATGACTATGACCTTCCCAGTACATATCCAGAGATGTCACCACTGAGAGATGAGAACAAGCATACCTCTCCCAAGACTCCAGCTCTTTGGCTGCAAGGCACAGCAGATTTCTTAGATTTTTCTATACCAGTCACAGACCATCACACAGGATTAAAAATTGGATGTAGAGGTTTCTGTGACCTAATTCTCCAACTCAGATATAGTGAAGGTTGGTCACAGTCAGTCATTACTGGTGGCCTATTCAATATGCCACCAAAATGTTCAGTTTCCCATAAAGGCCAGCACCAGATAGGCTATGGAGGCCTGAGATATTCTTTCAGACTCTTCAACACTTTATGCAATTTATTAAAAAGATATGTTGTTACAAAATATTTAAAACATAACTATCAATAGCAGTTGCACCTTCTGCTTTAGTTTCAGAGGATATCACCATTTAGTCCCTGTGAACATTCTACAATAATCTTAATAACCCATACAGTAACGTCTTTATTAAGGAATGTCACCAAAAAGGTCATGTATGAACTCTCACTACTGCATATTCTCTCCCATTGAAGGGAATTATATCTGGAGAATATTTCCAGTCAGCTGAGCATTACATTTCACCCTATGCAGACAGAAGATTGTATGCTGGGCACATAGCCAAATTAAGGGGCTCAAGGCATGCTCAAGGGAAGAAGGCAGCATGTCACTCAGTGCCAGAGCGCACCACAGAGACCACAGGAACTGTTTCTTGCAGCGGCTTCAAAATTAGCCAATTAATTGCCTTCATATCACACACATATTTACATGAATTCCACACAGAAATAGTGACCAGATTAAAGGAGCAATTAGATGGGCAGCACCCTGGTTTAATGGCAAACTGTTTTCAAAAATAAGACAAGCTTCCTTTTCCATAGTGGGAAAAAATAAGTTCTAATTTTAACCAAAGGTCCATCACTAACGTCATCAACTTTCAGCCAGAACTGTTTTCAGTAGCCATACAATGCGCTGGGTAAAAGTCAGCAGGATGTGTTACATTTCCCAACTTCTCTTTAACCAAACCGAAACATACATAAGCAGTTTCAGGAGGAACAATAAGACTTAGCAGATTTCACTCCTTCTCCCTCAGCCCGCTCCCGCCGCTCCCAGCCGGGCAGAGCAAGCGCGGTTCCGATCAGGAGCGCATCCCCGCCCTCGGGGGCGCGCCCGCCGCACGTGAGCGGCACACGGCAGCGCGCCCTGCCCCGGCCCGGCGCTCCGTTATCGGCCGGCGGTGGGAGCGCACCCCCGAGCCGCGGGACTCGGAGCGCACCCCCGGCACCGCTCCTCAGCCCTCTCCCTTCGGCGGCCTCGGGACAGCGCTGCGGCGACGGAGGCGATACCTGCGCGGCGTCCCGAGGCGCGGTGCGGCTGGAAACTAAACCCTGCCCCGTGCGCGTCCGCCGCCCCCACCCACCGGGAACGGCTCCGGCAGAGAGGCGGGAGCCGGCGCGGAGCGGGAGCAGCCGCTCCCAGTGCCGGGGGCGCGCCGGCCGGGGCGCGCTGCCCGCGGCAGGTGGGGCCGCGGCCAGCCGGCCTTGCGGGCCGGGGACACCTACCTGTGCTCCGCTCACCACGACCCCGGCCATGCTGCGGGTGGCAGCGCCGGAGGTTCCGCGGGCTCGGTGCCGGCCGGGCCGCTGCCTGGCAGAGTCAGCTGACGCGGGCGGAAGCGCGGCCGGGCCGGGGGTGGCGGCAGCGCGGAGCTCCCGCCGCCTCCTGCGGCCGGGCCGAGGGCGCAGGCACGGCCCCGGGCGGCACCGCGCGGGGCGCCGGCGGGTGACAGCGTGAGGCTGGCGTGGCCCGCGGTCTGCGTGCCCAGGGCACGGTCATCCTCATCCGGCGGCCGCCCCGGGCCCCGCTGCGACATCCTACCTGGAGCGCTAGCCCAAAGCGGCACACAGGGATTGCCACGGCTCACAGAATCAGCTCGGTTGGAAAAGACCTCCTAGGCCATCCAGTGCAACGTAGGACCGAACACCACCACACCAACTAGACCATGGCATGAAGTGCTTCAGTGTTTCCACGTTCAGTGTTTTCTTAACACCTCTCGGGATGGTGACTCCACCACCTCCCTGGGCAGCCCATTCTTATGTATAATCCCTTTCTATGAAGAAATTCCTCCTAATATCCAGTGTAAATCCCCCCTGGCCCAACTTGAGGTACATCCTGTCAGCAACTACCTGAGAGAAGAGACCAACCTCCACCTTTCTAAACCCTCCTTTAAGCTGCCCCCACCCTCATTCCAAGCCTTCTCTGGGCTAATCAACCCCAACTCCCTCAGCTGCTCCTCGTAAGACTTGAGCTCCAGACCTTCCTCCAGCTTCTTTGCCCTTCCCAGCGCCGGGGCAGCACCATGTGCTGGGCTGTAAGGGTACTGGAATAGGCCATGGGAAGAAGAGATGGAAATAGCCAATTTGTGACACTGACAGAAGGATCACACCTTGGATTTCAGTTCCCATGAGACGCTAGATTACTTGGAGCATTATCTGTACTGGCTTTCCACCTACTAAGCAGTTCATTAATTTGTGGCATAAAGCATAACTTGCCTTTGAAGAGATGTATGTCACTGGTAAAGCAACACCTGCAGGGAGAAAAAAACCAAAAACATGCTATCTCCAGGAAAGTTCCACATTCTCATAGCAATATTTTTTTTTGTCTCTAGAACACAGGACAATTTGTGTGAAAACCAGAAATACCTTTGGAATTATCAGAAAACCCTGTCAAATTAGTCTTTCCAGGATACAAGAATCTACTAATTAAAATAACAGCATGATGGTAGGTTATCACTGTTCAGGCAGACTAGAGGAGCTGCAGGTTTTCTGTAAGAATTTTATATGAGACTTTTAAAGGTTTCCCAAGCTTGGATCCTAAATCCTATTAGTCATCTACCTACCTCTTCAGCTGCCTAAGCACCTTTAAAAATCTGGCTCATTTTTCCCCTTTATTGCTAATATAGCATAACTCACTCTTGCTGAAAGTGGAGGCACATGCTGTGAGGGGAAATAAGTTTCGGGAGGTTATGTATTCCTCACTGCAAACCACTTTCTTAAGTTTATTCAGCAACACAGCAGAAACCAATACTATACTTGCTGCTCTACCTCTTAGTATCAACAGAATAAATTCTTGATACAGCTGTGGCACTACACCTTCTCTACAGCCATCCCACCTTTCTCAGTGACTGCTGGACAGGAAACACAGAGCAAATAGCTGAGGAAAAAAATATTCTTCCTCCCTGTTCTTTTAATGTATTGTGTTAGAAATGTCAATGGGCCAACATGCATAAAGATCAAAATATGGCAAATGAATAAGTCACTCCAGTGCTTTGCGTGATCTAATTTTCCTTGTATCATGTAAGACAGAAGAATCAAACCCTTCAGCCACAGCAAATAAGCTGATCCTACACTGATGAATAAAAGCTCTGTTCCTCTAAGTAAAAAGAGTTTTCCATCCAGGCATACTTGCTAGTTCAGATCATCACTCAGCATGCTTCAAACCATCAGGGCCTTTATTTATCTGTTAGATTATATAGTAAATAACATATGCCAAGAAAAACAAGTACTATGTGAACTGTAAATTTAAACAAAGCAATACATTCTCCTCTTTCTGTATCTACTTTTTATCTCTCTTTTAGCTACAAGCATGTGGTTCCCACCAGAATGAACACATACAGCTCAAGGCTCAAGTGGCCCACTGCTACAGTATTTGTCTTAGTGGAGTAAATTCAGTTCAATACTACACTCATGTAAAATTGGAATAACTACATTGAAAACAATTTAGCATATCATTATCTGCATTATTAGGATTAATTTTAGTAGAGTGTTAGCTGTCATTTTAGAGATATCTGTGAAGAAAAAAATCCCTGCCTAAATAGTTTACAAAATAGCCCACACAAATAATAGCAAGTTTGGGGGGTTTTTCCAGCATCTTACATTGCCAGTTCCATTAACCTGCCATTGATCCTCCTACTTACTAGGCAAGACCTTGTCTAGAGGGAAAAGTTGCAGGTGCAGCTCCCTAAACTGGGTGACTTAAATTGACTTTATCATCTCTTCAATCAGTCGAGCTGAATTTTCTAAATTACAAAAACAACTTAAAGAGGTGGCAAACTGTTTTAAGTGCATCAGGCTTATAGTCGTTCTTTTGAAACTAGTTCAGCATTTTCTTGTACCGACATGGCCTAGATTGTTATCTGCCATGGATAAATAATAGATCCAAGTCCCATGGTGTGTAACAAAAAGGGAGTGCTCCCGACCACAGTGACAAAATGGGACTATTATACTGTAAGGAAGGGAAAAACAAAACTCCCTGGAACAGAAAGATCCTGGAGTATCTCCTGGAAAGGAGAAGAGAGATCACTGTCTTATTGTGGTGCTTCCCTAGATTTTGAGAACTTACATCTCAATCCTAATTCTGCTGCCAGTTTCCTACACCTTGGATTACTGGAGACCTTCTCAAGCTTTGTAATTTTAGAGTCTGCTTTATTCCCTTATTTCTTAAGTACCCATCACTTGCGTGTAATTTTCAAAAGCAATGAAAACTCACAGCTGTCTGCCCCTGAAGGACCATTTTGTAACATCTAATCTGCAGGTGTAACAAAGTTATAACATAGTCTCAGATTACAGGTATATGAGTCGATGTGCTCATTAGTTTGTGCCCCATGCTGTTATGAAGCTGAAATCCATCACAGTGCAATGTAAATACCAAACGACTTCTCCAGCTTTTGAGCCAGCTGATCATCAGTGTCACTTGATAGCACAGATCCCAGATGAACGTGAGGCAGCCTCTGGGTTTAGGCTGTTTTTCACCTTACCATATGTATTTGTATTTCTGAGCATCTCAAAACATTACCTTCTTGAGTCCTGGCCCCATGCAGCCTGCATCGTCTATAGGTTTTATTTAGCTTTGGTAGAGCTGCCTATATGAGTAAAGCTTCAAAGGACTAAGCTTGTACTTACAGAATATATTTTTCAAGGGTTCCTCAGAAGCTGAAAGTTTTGTGAGGATTCTTTGTAGAGGTTAAAATAGTTTATGTGACAGTTGGCCATAGCGGACTTTTGAAATGTCTTTTTTTATAGTGTGTTTATATGAAAAAAAGTAAAATCACTTGTTTATTTAAATAATCAGTTTCACTGCAGTTAGATGCAGAAGGTGGCACTTCTGTACAGGCCATTCAATAAGATTTCCTAAGATTTTTAACAGAGTATTGCCAAAACTGCTTGATATGTGAGTTACATACAGACAAAACCAACGTGGACTTTTAAAAAAATAGGGGTTTTGAGTTACACTAATATGCTCAGTACATCTTTTATATACACACATATGTATATATGCTGACCTGTCCTTTGAATAAAGAGCATTATAAATTCAAAATAATACCTGGAAAGCAGCTCCAAACAATGGGAAAGCAATGTGTTGGAACCATGGTAGGTGCCCATCAGATCTGCTTCTTATAAATAAGTTCTTCATATAATATCAGAGCTTTGTACCATTTTAGGAGTCAGTTGCTTAAAATGTGTACTCAATTACAATCAGGAAATCTTATTGACCAACTGATTAAATAATTAGCTAATACAAACCAGTAAATTATGGCATAGCACCAAGCACCTGATGAATTATGTCATTTCATATAAAGTGTTTGTATGCAAGCATTTCCCCATCTTAAGTGAACACTGAGCATTTATAAGAGGAAATAATAGCAATCCTGACTTTTTCATTAACTGAAAGTTAGAAAAATATTTGAGTTAATCAAAATGGTCTGTTTTCCAGCTTGCAGCACACTATGCATATATGCATCCATGTACACAAATACAATTATCCTATATTTCAGAGTAAGTCAAATAAACTATTGTCTTCTTTAAAAAAAATCATATATATATATATATAGTTTCTCTTGACAAAATAGTGTATTTGAACAGTTTTCTGAAGCAAATAATTTCAGACAAAAAAATCTCAGCCAAGTAACAGAATTTTTCCAACTTGACCTTCAGAAAATTTGGCTCACAGTTTATCCATAAAACTTACTTTGTTGATGCTAACAATGAAAATATTGTCTCAAAATATTTGTTAATAAGTATCCACAGAAATATGATGTGAATACAAACTGAATCAATTCAGCTGAGAAAGACTGACTGTAGTACAGACATTCTCCTCTGTATTGCCAGAGGAACATATTATTCATATGTAGCTTCCCTTACACCTGTTTTTAATCACAAAGAGTTAAATGGGGTGTTTAATGTCCAAACTAATAACTTCAGATGTCTCCCAGGAAACAGCATCACTAGCACTCCCTGCTGTGAAACCTGCAGGAAAAAAACCCTGACAGAAAAAAAGATAAAGTACAATAAAGTGTGTACTTTAGTCCTACAGAAAGAAATACAGTAATGATGACATCATTTGTCGTTCCTAAGTTGAACAGCCGCAAATTAGGTTTCTTCTTTCCTATCTCCGAACTAGTTCTCATACTGCCTCTAATAAGGATATTTAACAGCCAATGTTAAACAGGTTAAAGGGATCTGAAAAGCAAGTTCTGCATATGTATTCAATACACTGGTACATCTTTTTTTGATCAGTATTAGTATGGCAGTGTGAGATTGTGCTATAAAACTTAAGAACATCTAAGTGGCATTAAAGTGTTGGGGTTTTTTTCCAGAAGTATGCCCATGCT